TTATTTTAGTTCATGACATTAGTTGAAGCGTAGAAGAATGTCCCCCTTTCTCTCTTACGGAAGAAAGATGTTGGCGTTCGTGACAGGGTAAGGCTCGTGACATGACGCGAAAGGCACCAGCGTGGCAGAATTTCATTTAGAGTAAGCTACTGAGCAATAAATAAGTACGCTACGACCGTAAGGTAAAGAACCACGATGAGTTAATAATAGTAAAAACTAATAATACGGATGCTTTTTTGACGTCACTACAATATTTTCTCGCTAGGTGACGATTAAAGTGCCCCTTACTATCGTTGTAGATGATCGCAGACGGCTTGTCTCTATTGAGCTGCTCCAATTTGTTTGACAGGTCTTTCTATCGTTGCCGTGATTTTTTCAAAAAATTTTCCTTTTCCTCCGCCGCTTACGGTCCTTGAAAGCAGACGGCACGATAGGTTTGCTGTTCGTTAGTTTTGATGAAATTAGAGCTGCTGTGGAAGGGGTAGGGTGAACGTAAACTCCCTTCAAGTCTTCGAAGCATATCGACAACATTTCATTCCACCCTCTAGTGGATTAGTAGCTTACTGTCTCCCTTCCTATATGTGTACCAAGCGGTAGCTAACAGTGCATGAGAAACTTTACCATCATCCACAATTCCTATGGGAGTATTTGAGGAAATGGACGAGTTGGACAGTACGCTATTTGGCAGACCAACTGGAGTGAAGGCAAAACCGTCTCTAGGGAACCTCGACTCACTTTTCGAAGACTCTAAAAAGGTAAGCTTTTTCAAATGCTCCTATTGGAAAAGCGACCATACTTTCCAGCCGGCAGCAAAGAAGCCGTCAGTATCGTTTCTAGATGGGGTCTCATCCTCCACGTCAGCATCACATGTGAGTTTTTTTCAAATGTCAAAGCTAAATTTCATTCTTTTGATAAACTTATAAACTTTGGGGATTTTGTAGACTATGAAGTGCAATGGTGTGTGACATAAAAGAACTGTGAATTAACCACCAGTTGTGAAAAATGTTATGAAGAAGATTTTGCAAACCCCTTGCCTTGTGCATTGCAATATTTTCGCCGTGTATAGACTGACCTAGCCAAGACACCTGGAATCAGGGTCAATCCTACGTTGTTAATAGTAAAAACGGGGGTCGTATCGTTCGAGGTCAGCGTGAAAGTACACGTTGAGTTGCGGTGGAAGTTGGAGTTCTTTCGCGCGAGTGACAGTGCGTACCAAAAGTATGTGGACACCCTGGAATCGATTCTCAGGGGTCAGCTAAAGGCTTTTATGTCATGAAACCTCACCATTCAACTCCTAGTGGTCGATAACCTACAATGATATTTTCGGCAAAAGATTTCGTTCTAACTTAGCGAACTATTTTTCATGGAAAGTTTTTTCTTTGTATCAAAATTATGTGGACACTTTTTGAAAAACGGCAATATCTTCAAAATCTGAAATCGGTAGGCCTACCAAAGTTTCTAGTAAGTTGAGCCATTCTGTTTGGCATGCTATGAATGGGGTCTGGATACATGTCTTGCAGATCTGTTCCCAACTAGCAAATTTCACCGACGTGTTAGGTCACTTGTGATATTACTTTTTTGTTCAATGACGTAGAGACCGCGAACCACGATACCTCTACGTTTTCAATAAGGATGAAGTCTGAGGAATACGCTAGCCGACTTGCCAATCAAAGCCGTTGCGTTTAGCATTTTTCCAAATGGAATGGTGTCAGGGACCTCCCCTGCAAAACAAGTGATTTGCAACCATGACTTTTCGAAAAAGGTTGTAGCCGGGACTCAAGCACCTCATTATAATCCTAGTCGTCTACCTGACATGGGCCAGCAGCGACGAGGTGTCAATGTCCGCCGTCCTTTTGGGAAATTCAGCTCCAGACCTTTCGTGATGAACACTCTTCGATTTCTAGCTTCGAGCACCATATGCGGCGGTCCGACCAAAGGTCTCCTTGCCAGCATAACTCGAGGAGCCACGGCGATAGTAAGGAAGGTAAGGATTGCGCTCTCCATTTCGACGGCTCGAGGTCTATGAAAGAAATTTCCACAGAAAGTCTTTTATACTAATTTTACCATTTCCACGAAAGCACTGTCTGTGTGGGTTCAAAGTATCATGTTGTGATCCTTTTTTGAGTGGGAATTCCAACCTTGCCAACCTGAACCCGCATTCATATACAAAGCCTTCTTCATCTTCTTTCGTGTCGTGTGCTCATTTGATTGAATGAGACACCGATTGGTGTTTTTTGAGACGGAGAAGATCATTTATGCGTAAAGTTGAGTAGTACGAAAAGAATAATTTGAGAAAATCAAGGCTATTCTTTTCCTGTTTTAAACAAGTAGCGATTGAAAACAACCCTCAGTCAAGGCCGAGAGCTTAGCATCAGGATTTCGAATTTCTCTCCAAACCTACAAGGACGCATGACGAGCCGGGTGGCGTTGGCGCGTGCCTGATATCGCAATAGGAAGGTTCAGAAGCATGGGGATCCCACTTCTGTGCTCGGTTTTCTTCAGAAAAACGCTTGCCGTGAAGAGGAATGATGCCAGAATAAGTAACGAAAGGAGAAGTAGAAATAGGTTAGGACAAATCGATGCAAAAACTTCATCTGCCTCAGGGTGTCCACATAATTTTGATACAAAGAAAAAACTTTCCATGAAAAATAGTTCGCTAGGTTAGAACGAAATCTTTTGCCGAAAATATCATTGTAGGTTATCGACCACTAGGAGTTGAATGGTGAAGGTTTCATAACACAAAAATCCTTTAGCTGACCCCTGAGAATTGATTCCAGGGTGTCCACATACTTTTGGTACGCACTGTAGTAAGGCTAGGTGAGTTGGATCGACGGCAAAAGGGTGGCGTACCAAGTCCACCTTGGGGGAGGGGGGTCGTAAAAATTTTTTTTGAAAAGTAACAACGATAGGACTGACCCTGCCTGGAATTACTCTCGAAGGCTTGCTGTTCCCCCTATCTGATAGTGTGGCGCTGATCAAAGTACGTTTGAATATCTCTAGGAAATCAAGATCGATCCCACGTGCAAATTAAGCTCCACCTCGTAATCCTTCTAGACCCAAAAACCAATGTTAGTGGCTGTTCTTTAACCTAATGAAATTGTTGGAGATTTCCATTGTGGGCTTCGCGCCGGACATCGCCAGCTTAAAATCCGGGCACTCCACCTGGTGCTACCGAGGCAAAGCCGCCGATGAGGAATCTAGAAAACTTAAGTGAATTTCAGACACCTGGGAAGAGTGCGTTGGACGATCTCTTTGCGGAACCACCACCCGCCCTTGGGTCTGCCGGAACTTCAACGCCTGCTCAGACTATGTTTGAATTTCACGTTTTTTGTTTTTCAATCAAATAAAAGTAAATATAATATTTCAACCGCCACAGTGACAGGCATTTACACTTGCTGGAGCCATCGGGGTTGGGCTTGTAAAACTCCGATTCGATTATCATGTTAGCACCCTCGCTTTGCGGCCCGGTTCATTTTTTATGATAAAGGACAACCGTCGTGGCTCACGGGGAGGGGATAAATCGTTTACTCGATGGCCGTTTCTTCTGTTCGTTTGTGCACCTCTTTCTCCTGTTCAGTTCTTTATCTTCGCGAGCTTATTTTCTTCTTGCGGTTCAAAATTTCAAATGGTACTAATTTCGGCTTCCTCATGTTATCACATTGTACGCTAGTACCATACATCATGTCACCCATATTTCCATGCAAGATAAAAGTCTTAGGTAAGTGAATAGACGGCATGCAAATTCTACGAGTTAATTTGGTAAGTATGGTGGTTAGCCTGCAAAGCTAAATTTTCAACGCAGTTTGTTCAGAGGACATGGGTGCGCATAATTCCAGACCTGGGATCATTAGTGTTGGGTTTTCCGTTCTACACAATACTTACTTCAAACCTTGTGCAAGGTTTAGGCTCTTACGGAGTAACCTTTGTGATTTAGCGCTCGACCAGCACGGCAACAAGCAAGAAGCAGTGGAACCCTGGGATCTCTCCTAGGTGCTCCTCGAAAAGAAAAAGAAGCTGCCCCACAAGCGGTAGCACCGAGTTCAGCACCAACGTCTGCTCCCGCTCCACCTCAACCTGCAGTACGAGCTCCGGAAGACGTTCTGAGAGAGAAAAGGTTGTAACGAGGCCCTTCATTATCGTTGTAAATAAAATTGGCAATTTCAGACTGGAAAACGAAGTAGAGCGGCTCCACCGAGAGATAGATGAGTTGAAGAGACGGAAAAAGGAAGACGAAACTGATCTTGAAAACTTATGGAAGGAAAAACTATCAAAAAAGGATCGTGACTGCTCTGACGAGTTGAAAAATTTGGAAGATTACTACCAGTAAGCTGCTTTTGATTTTACTTGCAACTAGCATCTTCAGGGGTGCGTTGAAGTTACTTCCTAGGTCAGGTTACCTAAATTTAAGACACCACTCATTTGCTCGAGAGCAAGCTTAGGACTAAGCCTAGGCCCAATCATAGGCTTAGGCATAAGCCAATGTGTAAGCATAAACCTAAGCCTAACCCAAACTTAACCTTAGGCTTCAATGATCGCGCAACTCTGGTGACCTGACCCCAGAAGGAGAACTGAACGTCTCCGGTGCCTTACTGAGTCCACCGCTGCACTTACAATGCGACCATCACCACGCCGCTCAATCAGTTTTTGCTGATCCATACTCAATCTTGATTTTTATAGAAAACAGTTGTCAAAACTGAATGGCGAACATGAAAAAGAGTTAGAAACCTTGAAGATCACGTACGAACGTCAACTAGAGGTCATACAACAATCTACTGGAGAGTGGAGGTATGTTTCGTAACGTTCCAGTTACCGTTAAAAAAGGCCCTGTTGGCTTACAGTAGCTATCGTGGCTACGTCTAGAGTGATATTTTAGTGTGTTTGGCTAGGGATATAGCGACATCTTCAAATGGAAAAATGGGAACGTGTTTTAACCAGTGTCGCAAAATACAGTGTCCATTTCGAATGCTCTCCCACCCTATATTTTATCAAAAAATTAACGTTTCTAGGGATGTCACTTCAGTGGTTAACAAGGTTGACACCTTGTCTTCCACGCTGCATCAACTGGCCGACAGTGTCACTATGGTGACCGATCGGTCGCTGCTCGAAAAGGAAACAACATTGCGGATACGAGAAGAACAACTAAAAGATCGTGAACAGAGGTACGTTCATCTTTTTATTTATTTGTCTATTTATTTATTCGTGATTATTGCTACAGCGTAATGCAACAACTCTATGAAAATTGAAAACACAATAAAGAGGCAAAAAAATGAAATACGAATATTTTTGCGCCTTTAGTAAAATTACACGATGTGCCACCCTACTTAGACGTAAGCAAACCAGCCCTTTTGGCGCTTCGGCTGGGACCGTATGCTGAATGTTGGGGAGGGGATGGAGTCCCCGACGGTGGACGGACCACTTCAACTCGGTCCTTAGAACCGCCACAATTTGGTGCTTACCTCAGAACTAAGCCTTAAAGAGAGGACGGGTCCGTCCCCTCTCCAAGGCTTAGTCCTGGGGTGAGCAAACCAGCCCTTCTGGCGGAGCTGCTGGACCAGCTGCACCACTTGCGTCAGTACTCTCCTATCGTACCAACCGAGTTGAAGTAAACCGTCGACCGTTGGGGTCCCCATCCCCTCCCCAACATTCAGCATACGGTCCCAGCCGAAACGCCAAAAGGGCTGGTTTGCTTACCTCCCCTACTTATATGGTCTATCATTGTCAGTACAACTACATTCAAAAGGCATAGGATGAAGCATTTGGTGTTGATCATCCTCGACGGGATGAGCCACGCATTCCAACTTCCAGTTCAAAAGTAGCTGTGTTTGCTATTCAACAGTCATTATTTCTCGCAATCATACTGCTCGAAATATTCAAAGTGATTTGATGTATGCAGTGACTTGAAGGTGGTACAGTGGCAAGTTGACCGATTCCCAAGCGCACGACCGAGCGGGTCAAATCCTGGATCGAATATCGCTCAGGTCAACCAAGTCTTCCGAGCCCTCTTGTGTAGGAAAATCGCTTCCAGACTCGACTGGGAGTGTGAAAACACCGACTTGTACATCGGCTGACTGCTGCAAATCCACATCACATTCAAATTGTAGCCATATCATCTTCAAAGTACACTACAATCCTGAGTGGAAGTGGATGCGCAGTGCCTCATAGATTGAGCAGGAACTATTTTGTAGCTCTTCCACGCGAAGGTACAACAAAGACCCACGCTAGGATCCCTTGCTGACTCGCTAGAGATTTCGGCAGCTCAGGAATGCCTCATGATCTGCCTTCCAAATGGAGAAAGAAACAAGCTTCCTCTGGTCGTGTAGTAATAATTCCGTTACTAAACAATATTTACTTTTTTCAAGCCATGCCCAATTTTTGTTTCTTTATTTTTTATGCAGCTTTTATCTGCAAAAAAGCAACGCATATAAGTTTCAAGAAGGCCTCACAGATTACACAAGGGAGATAATTTCGAATTCATACTGTTTTATGTTCAGGCTTATCGAGGAAAGATCTCAGTTTGAGGACGAGCGCAAAAAGGTTTATGAGCTGAACGCAAGGTTGAACGAACTCTGCAAAGCCCAAGAAACAATCATTGGACAGGTTTGTCAGCTCCGTCGAACAGATCATTTTTTTCAAATACTACACTAAATTTTAATTATAACCTCCCATATATTTTTGATCCCATAAGCAAAAGTCAACAATCTTCAAACCCGATGTGCCCTGACGGTTCAAAATAGTGCGCATTTATTGCTTGAACATTCATGTCTTCATGAGCGGGATTTCGTATGGAACGGATCAAAATCATGCAAAGTTATTCATATATTTTCATCAGTTTGCATGCCTGTAAGACTAGCTACCTATTTACTTGTTACTATTGTTATTTCACAAGAATGCTGGGTTGTGAACAAAACTTTCGCCCCAGGCGGGACTAGAACCCGCACCTCTCGCTTTCCGGGCAAGTGCGCTACCAGTTTCAATTTTTTTTTTTTCAAAGCTGAGTTGGAATGAAATGGTGCCCCGGTAGCGTAACTGGTAGCGCACTTGCCCGGAAAGCGAGAGGTGCGGGTTCTAGTCCCGCGCCAAAGTTTCAGAGCTGATTGACATGAATATGGCGCTCCGGTAGCGTAACTTGGATAGCGCAACATTGCCCGGAAAGCGAGAAGGTGGCGGGTGTGAGTTCCTGACAAGCTTTGAATAAGGAGAAAAAAGCTGAGTTGGGATGAAATGGTGCCCCGGTAGCGTAACTGGTAGCGCACTTGCCCGGAAAGCGAGAGGTGCGGGTTCTAGTCCCGCCTGGGGCGAAAGTTTTGTTCACAACCCAGCATTCTTGTGAAACATTCGCAACGCGAACTGCGGCGTTAAAACAGCAGTTAACAAACAAAACAAGTCAAAACTATTGTTATTGTTATTTTATTATTTTTACATCCTTCCTTATTATATTCCACTTCGGCTTGGTTTTCGTTTACCTCTGTAAATTTCTAAGGACAAGTATCGCGTTCGAGAGGAATGGAATCGTCTGAATGCGGAAAAGCAAGCATTCATGGAGGATCAAAAGTTCGTTCTGCAGAATATTGAGAAACAGGCCGCCGCAGTTGAAAACTCCAAGGTATTTTATCTATTACGTGTGTCTAGATGTGAGCTAAAAGCAAAAGAGTGCTTACATGGTTATAGGTGGCCCGACATTCGTGTTTAAAGAAATCGTGCCAGATTCATGATTCCATTTCCTCCATAAATCGTCAGCTTGAAGGCGGAATTCACGCTGAAAAAGCAACCCATTTCAAATTAACTTAGGGATGGTGAGTGGTACACGAAAGAAGGAAAACCATGAGAAACGGCCCAGAACCCGAGAAATGGGACCCCTTCCTTGCCCGTTGATTTCCGCATAGTGCCCTCTTCAACAATAAGGCCGATGTCAGACTTTGCGAATCGCGCGATTCGCTACTAGCGATTCGCGCGTCCGCGGTCGCGTTGCGGTACCAGCCAATTGAGTGATTCACTGGCCGCGACGCGACCGCAGACGCTAGCGAATCGCGCGATTCGCAAAGTCTGACATCGGCCTAAAGCTTTCTCTGCTATGTTGGTGGGCGTACCGCGCCAACTGTGCCAAGAGCCATGCTAGATCGCCAAGGCAAATCTTTCGCTGCCAACTGCACATCGGCCTGAATCCTGAGAAGTTCAAATGGACGAAAATATTGCGCATGTTTCGGTGAATAGCTCGAAATAATATTACTACTGAGGATAGGACATTCTTACCTTTATGTCAGCTTTCCTGACAGACATATCTGACCCTTGGGTTGAGTGCTTTCTCGAGAACACTTCAAGTTTGGTATAGGTGTGATTTTTTGCTTGAATTAGAGCTTTTACAGTCCACGTTTTTCCATGAACAACACGATCTCCTTACTCGCATGAGCGCCGAACGACAACTTTTTGAACAAGAGAAAAACGAGTTCCACGGGTAAGCAATTTAATTTTTTTCAGTTCGGTAACACTTACTAATACTTGTTTTGTGTGTTAGCCGCAGTCCGCATTGCAAATGTTTCACAGGAATCGTAATGAACAAAATTTCGCACTAGGGCGGGACTCGAACCTGCACCTCTCACTTACCCGTTAAGTGCGTTACCGGCGCAGCGTTTTACCCTAACTCAGCTTTTGATGGTGTTTTTGCTCAACTCAGTAGTTTGTGAAGCATTCGCAACGCGAACTGTGGCGTTAAAACGGCAGTTAACGAAACAAAACAAGTCAAAACTAATACCTGCTAGAAGCTTTTAGCCTTGCGTTTTACTGCCAATGTCGGCACAGGCTCATCTCGTTTGACGTGTGTGTATTTATAGAAAGCGTTCAGTAGATGTACGAAGGTTGAAGGAAGAAGCCACGGAGCTACAGCAAAGAGCCGACAACATTTTAGCTGCCGAGACTCAAATAGAGAAGTTAAGAAGACACTATGAACTTAAAACAAGACAGGTAAATAATGGTTAAAATGCGTTGCTCAATCGACAGAACCTCGAAAGCACCGTTCCAGCTGCAAGAGTTAGAGATTTCGTTGATGGAGGAATGCCTGGAAATGGAGAATCTTCGTGCTCAGATGACAAAATCTAAGTCTCAAGCTTTGGAGAACGTGGTAAGTCGCCTCCCTTTGTTTATACCCTGCAAAAAATGTAAGGTGGAGCGAGCAGTGAGAAAGGGACAATGCATCAGCACCGCAGATTATTGGAGCAACTCCTCGAGTGGTCCAAATGGACCTGCCTTAGGCTGGTGTCAGAGTCCACGATTCGCCGCGCGATTCGCAAAATCGCAAGTGCCCCATTTGAACATTTGAAACACTGAATATGAAACAAGTAGAATCATGAACAGTCGTCATTCAGCCATCACCATCAAGCAGAAATGGCGGCGGGATTGGAGAGCACCTCGCAGTATTGATCGGGCACTTGTGATTTCTGTGATCGTCGCGCGATTCGCGCGAATCGTGCGAGGGATCGCGAGCTCTGACACCAGCCTTACTTTTGAGCTACGGCGATTTCTGCGTCTCTTCTTAACCATCACAAGAAAATGAAAGGAGCAAGGAAAGGAGGAAGAGGAAAAGAAAACACTTTTCTCAAACCCATTCGTGACAATGGCAGCCACCGGTGGCTGACAAAGATCTCACTCGGGACAATGGTATCCACCGGTGGCTGCCGTGTTTCAAATGGAATTTGGAAAGTTTTCTTTCCTGAAAGAATCTTCATACCCTCATTCATCTACGCCAGCCCTGGGCAGAG